TGTGTGTTTAAGACAGACACGAAAACGAGTCGTCCTGACACAGACAGGTGGGTTGGAGAGGGCGTCGCGAGAGGAAGAGCATCAACAGCCGTTATGATGGCGCATTGTTCACTTTGCTTTTTGCAAGCAATGTCGAAAAACGATGAAAACACATCACACTTGCACACAACTCTCGACCGAGGCACGGACACACACAACCACACACAAGCACACACAAGCACACACGGACAGACAGAAGGAAGCCGAGATTGACTGGTCCTTGTGCAGCCTGACAGGCGGTTGAATGCGCACAATGAGACATGTATACAATCTTGTGCATAGCTAGACAGTCCATCGAAAGGAGGGATAACTAGACGAGGGCGAATGGTTGCAGAGTTCACCGAATCGATGCATACATGGGTGCAATACAAGACCACAAGTATCGATGCTCAACCGATGCGGCGACAAACCATGATGCCATGGCAACGCAGCAGTTGGGCATCGGTATTCGGCCTGCAGGGACTCTGGTGGGATTGTTGGCATGGTCGCAGAATTGAGGTGAACTTGTCTGAAAAAGAGAAATAACGACTCAACCACTCGTCTTCTTCATCCGAACCAGTTTGACCAGTCTCAGAGGAAGCATTCCATTACACTCTTCGCTTCTGCTCGTGCTCGGTTTAGCACATTTCCGACAATTGCGACAGGTTTGCTGTGAATTCTGTTGCCCAACTGGGGCGATTCACACTGATGGAGAATACAAATGAAAGGCATCTTTTACGCTTGGCCCAAGGCCAGAAATGACGGGTGGTCAGGCGAATTTGGAAAATAAATTCGTTACTACTCATTGAGAAAGTAAGTAGTTGTTGTTCAGTCTAAAGCTACTGACATGGCATATGAAAACTTATTTAAGGCCTGATGGCCGAGTAGGGGTCAGTCAAGAAACCAGAGTCGCCTTAGAGGATACTTTTAGTCTATCCCTTTCATATACGAAGAAAAGTTGGGTTTCGAGGAATCTCTTGTTTCATAATTGTTGTGATTACTTCCATTTCGAGTAGAAGTGTTGGGTGAAGAGATTCGAAGGTCGGTTCCACCAGCTGTCGATTGGATTTATTGGAAGATTCATGCTGACGCTGTTTCCGAGGCAATCTCCTTCGATTCCGGTGAACACGTGCTGAG